GGCAATCTTAGAAGAAAACCTGTTCCGAGTCTGCAAAAGACTTAAGACTGGGACGGAGGTTCACCTTCCAGCAGGACAACGGCCCTAAACATACAGCCGGAGAAACAATGAAATGGTTTAGATCAAAGCATATTCATGTGTTAGAATGGCCCAGTCAAAGTCCAGACATAAATCCAATTAAGAATCTATGGGAAGACTTGAAAATTGCTGTTCACAGATGCTCTCCATCCAATCTGACAGAGCTTGAGCTATTTTGCAAAGAACGGGCAAAAATTTCACTCTCTAGATGTGCAATGCTGGTAGAGACATCCCCAAAAAGACTTGCAGCTGTAATTGCAGCAAAAGGTGGTTCTACAAAGTATTGACTCAGGGGGGCTGGATACAAATGAATGCCACACTTTTCAGATATTTTTTTTTTTTTTTAATTTTTAAAAACATTCATCATTTTCCTTCCACTTCACAATTATGTGCCACTTTGTGTTGGTCTATCACATAAAATCCCAATAAAATATATTTAAATTTTTGGTTGCAACATGACAAAATGTGGAAACTTTCAAGGGGTATGAATACTTTTTCAAGGCAATGTATGCCTGTGTCCTGTAGAGATTTTGTATTGTTTCCTGTCCCTATACACTCACACAAGAAATTTGGGGCATGGCTGGAGCTGGGACAGGAAGGCACAGAGAGATAAAAACATAATTAAATTTCTAAAAAGATAATCACCTGCAGTGCCACACAGTTAGAATGCAACAATTAATCATGCAGTTAGTCACATACTCTATCTAATGTGCAAAATTAACAAATATAAATCTCTCAATCCTAAAGTACAGTATAATATCACAATAAAAATAAAGTATATACATGTATAAAAGTGTATAAAGAGCCGATAAAGTGCAAAAAAGTCCTGTATAGTCCAGAAAATGTGGAATAGACTCCCTCAAGAGTTGGTTCTGGCCAGTGGATTGCTTTAAAAAAGGCCTTTCCTAGATACACACAATATACTGTATCTGGATACTAACATTCATAGGTAAAAGGGAATATCCAATTGCCTCTCGGGGGATCAGGAAGGAATTTTTTTTCCCCTGCAGGAACTGGATGGACTTTTGTCTTTTTTCAGCCAGACTAACTGTGTAACTGTGTTTATCTAGCAGCAGTGCACATGTGCAGCCACAGTCATTTATAGCTTAAGATATAAATACTGAGGGTACAAGAGAGTACAAGCTCCTCCTTTGCATTTATGGAATTACTACATCCTCTATTGTTATAATATCATAAAACAAATCCCTAACATAGCTATAACTAAACAGGACTGTTATGGTACTACACTGTAATATATAAAAATATATTGATTTTCTTATTTCAAAATAGAAAAACAAATTGATTATACATTATACAAACACAAATCTGCACAATCTGCAACACCAAGTAAATTTGTACAAGGTGACATGATCCCCACAAGGATTCTTTTAGGGGAAATCATCATGTTGGTTTCTTCTATGCATTTCGCAGGACAAAGCCTTCTTCTTCAGGAAGAACAGACTATATGAATGTCTAAAAAAAATTAAAACAAGCATCAACCAAATTATGGGTTCAGTTTCACAAACATGTAAGTATATCATACCCATTTTCATTATGTTACTACCTGCTGTGAATTGACAAAGTATGCAGCACAATAAAAGCAAAGTGGAACAGCTGGTCCCATGGAAGAGTGGACCTCAGATCACCCACCTCAGATCAAGTTGGAGAAAAAGGTCCTCAACATATATACACATTACATCTCTTGTACATCTGTTGCATATGATTTTAGCAAGGAGCTGGTCCACTTTTTAGGCTTAACTATATATGCACTATATTGTAGTACTGGAGAGGAGAAGAGTGACAGAAGGACTCACTGACAGGTGAGCCGGCAAGCTGTGAAAGAGGGTGCGGGAGTAGGGACACGCCACAAGGAGGATCAGCAGGTAGATGTGGGGCACTCTGACAGGTGAAGCTGCAGGCCCGCTGAGAGTGTCAGAGTGAAATACAGTGATAGGACCGACTGCAGGACTGGAGTACTGTCGGAGCTCTGTGAGTACTAAACAAGGGGAGAAACAAGCACTGTGATTAGAGTGGAGTATTGTGAGTATTATTGGAGCACTGGGAGTAATTTACTGGGAGTAATTTGAAGTAATGGGAGTATTTGTTGGTTTAATAGGAATATGTTTGTAGTAACTTGGAGTACTGGGAGTATTTTTTGAGTAATTTTCAGTACTGGGAGCATTTTTGGAGTACAGGGGTAATTTGTAATAAGTGAAGTAGCTTAATGTATTGGGAGCAAATTGGAGTACTGCATAGTGGCTTAGAATACCAGGAATATTGGGAGTAACTTGGAGATCAGGAGTAGCTTGGGAGTGTTGGAAGTAACCTGGGAGTATTATAAGTAATTTGGAGTGCTGTGTGTAATTTGGAGTAACTTTTAGTGCTGGGAATAAGGTGGAGGGACTTGGAGTGCTGGGAGTGACTTGGAGTATTGCGAGTAACTTGTAGTTCTGCGAGTATCCCAAATAGAAAAAATAATAACAGATATTGCTTAGATTAGGATTAAGTAAGGAGGTTTAACAGCAATTTTATAAATATAAGGGGAAGAAGGAAAAAAAAGTCTAATCTTTCCTGGAATATCCCCATTGGAGAAGATGGGTAAAATGTACAACAGGATTGGTGATGACACCCAGTACACATCTTGCTCCATGTATGCGTTCCACGATGAGCCATTTGAGGGCAAATATTGCTGTGCGAGGTGTGAGCTAGTTGTTTCTCTGGAGGCCCAGATCTTGGATCTAGAGAATCAGGTGGCAACACTGCGAAGCATCAACAACCTGGAAAGGAGATTGGACATTACCCAGCAGGTGCAGGTGGGGGCCAGTAAGGGTACAGGAGCTAGAGGTAGGTAGCTGGAAAGAGGGGTAGAGGGAAGAGCCTTAGAGAAGCTAGTCCTGAGTTGGTACTTCCCAAAAATAAAAAAGGCCAAGTTGCATGATGGGGATATCAGCTCAGGGGTGGCATTGCTGGAGAAGTTTCCCTTCCCTAATTGGCAGGGGAGAGACTGCTCCGGTAAGTAGGGGGAAAGGATACAGACAAAATTAGGCAAGTCCTGGTGGTAGGGGACTCAATAATCAGAAGGACAGATAAGACAATCTGTCACAAAGACCATGATCGCAGATCAGTATGTTGTTTACCAGTTGCTACAAGGTTCGGCATATTGTGGATCCAATGGAAACGTTGTTCGGTGGGGCTGGGGAGGACCCAGCTGTCATGGAGCACATTGGAACCAATGACAAAGAGGTAGGTGGAGTGTCCTAAAAAATTATTTCACAGACCTAGGTGCTATACACCTCCAAGGTGATATTCTCAGAGAGGCAGCAGGAGCTTAGAGAACTTAATAAGTGGCTGAGCAATTGGTGCAGGAAAGAGGGTTATGGGTTTCTAGAGAACTGGGCTGACTTCTCAGTCAGTTACTGGCTCTATAGTAGGGACGGACTGCACCTTAATAGGGAGGGTGCAGCTCTGTTGGGAGAGGATGGTCAAAAAGTTGCAGGAGCTTTTAAACCAGATAGTGGGTGGGAGCGATCAGAGGAACCAATAGCCAGCAGTAAGTGAAGGTCAGAGGGTGCTATAACCATAATACCTAAACCCTGCATAAGTTGGTTGGCAAAAAAAACTAATACAGCCACAGAACAACTAAGGAAGAAATAATATGTGCCGTACAAAACTGAGAGGCATGTACACAAATGCCAGGAGCCTGGCTAACAAAATGGAAGAACTGGAGCTGCTGATACACGAAAAGGACTTTGACTTAGAGGGAATATCAGAAACTTGGTTTGACAGCTCACATGACTGGTTTACAACTATCCAGGGGTATTCCTTGTATCGGAGGGACTGGGAGGGTAGAAGGGGAGGAGGGGGTATGCCTGTACATTAAGAATGATTTGCTAGTGAACGTGAGGGACGACATTGCAAATGGGGCAAGGGAGATGTAGAGTCCCTATAGGTGGAACTTCAAAGAGAAAAAAAAACAAGTGGGAAATTAATAGTGGGGTTATGCTACAGGCCTTCAATCTGAAGGATTAGGAGGAGTTGGATCTCCTATCGCAGTTTTAAATGGCAGCAAGACAGAGCAACATCATCATAATGGGGACTTCAACTACCCAGATATTGACTGGGTAGAAAGAACAGCGCATTCATTTAAGGCCAGTCATTTCTTAAATGTCTTACAGGACAACTTCATGTGCCAATTGGTGGATGCCCTGACTAGAAAGAATACATTGCTAGGTCTATTAGTTACAAATAACACAGATTTAGTCACAGATGTCGCAATACAGGGCAACTTGGGAAGCAATGACAACAGGGTATTTTTCGCTCCATAAGACGCACTTTTTCCCCCCAAAAAAGGGGGGGAAATGTCAGTGCGTCTTATGGAGCGAATGTAAAGCGTCCGGTCCGGTATTTCTGCCGCCACCATGTCAGAATATCGGGCCAGCAGCTTAGCTCTTCTCTCCTGCAGGACCTTACCAGTTCCTCGCTCCAGCTACAGTCTTCCCGTGGCGGCTTCTGTGACACCCGGGTACCCACTGCGCATGCGCGAGAAGCGCCGCGCTTTGTGAATGGCCCGGTGTCTTCTGGGACACATGACAGGTTCCAGAAGGCTCCGGGCCATTCACAAAGCGCAGCGCTTCTCGCACATGCGCAGTGGGCACCCGGCTGTCACAGAAGCCGCCGCGGGAAGAAGTAGGAAGGACAACTCCACGGGAAGTGGGAGCGGGTACCTGTCAAATTCAGGTACCCGTTCCCCCTCCCTCCCCAAAGGTACGCAGTCTCTGGTAATCTCCTTTACTGTCTGCAGTCTCTGGTTATCCCCTGCACTGTCTGCAGTCTCTGGTCTTCTGTACTATGTCCACAGTCTCTGGTCATTCCCTGTACTGTGTCTGCAGTCTCTGCTCATCTCCTGTACTGTGTCCGCAGTCTCTGGCCATCTCCTGTACTGTGTCCACAGTCTCTGGCCATCTCCTGTACTGTGTCCGCAGTCTCTGGTCATCTCCTGTACCGTGTCCGCAGTCTCTGGTCATCTCCTGTACCGTGTCCGCAGTCTCTGGCCATCTCCTGTACCGTGTCCGCAGTCTCTGGCCATCTCCTGTACCGTGTCCGCAGTCTCTGGCCATCTCCTGTACCGTGTCCGCAGTTTCTGGCCATGCCCTATACTGTGTCCGCAGTCTCTGGCCATCTCCTGTACCGTGTCCTCAGTCTCTGGTCATCCCCTGTACCGTGTCCGCAGTCTCTGGTCATCCCCTGTACCATGTCCGCAGTCTCTGGTCATCCCCTGTACCATGTCCGCAGTCTCTGGTCATCTCCTGTCCTGTGTCCGCAGTCTCTGGTCATCCCCTGTACTGTGTCCGCAGTCTCTGGTCATCTCCTGTCCTATGTCTGCAGTCTCTGGTCATCCCCTGTACTGTGTCCGCAGTCTCTGGTCATCCCCTGTACTATGTCCGAAGTCTCTGGTCATCCCCCCTGTACTATGTCCGAAGTCTCTGGTCATCTCCTGTACTGTGTCCGCAATCTCTGGTCATCCCCTGTACTATGTCCGCACTCTCTGGTCATCTCCTGTACTGTGTCCGCAGTCTCTGATCATCCCCTGTACTGTGTCCGCAGTCTCTGGTCATCCCCTGTACTGTGTCCACAGTCTCTGGTCATCCCCTGTACTATGTCCGCAGTCTCTGGTCATCTCCTGTACTGTGTCTGCGGTCCATTGGTTCAGAATATTTTTTTTCTTGTTTTTCTCCTCTAAAACCTAGGTGCGTCTTATGGTCAGGTGCGTCTTATGGAGCGAAAAATACGGTACACTCAGCATAAATCATAGGAAAAGGAGACACGGGGTGGTACAAGAACACTAAATTTCAAAAGAGCTAACATTTCTAAACTGCGCTCAATACTACAAGATAATAAATGAGACCAAATCCTAGAAACATTGAACACTGAGGAAAAATGGGAGTACTTTAGGAATGTAATCAAATAGAGTTACCATCCAGTGTATTCCAATGGGCAACAAATATAAAAGCTAAGATTAAACCTGGGTGGCTAAACTTTCATGTAAAAAGGCATATTAAAGAGAAATAAATGGTCTTTAAAAAATACAAGGTTGGGGGGATCATTGTCAGCATTCCAGCACTACAAAGAATGCAATAAGAAGTGTAAAAATGCAATCAACACAGCTAAGATAGACCGCAAGAGACTCGGCCATGCAACACTGTTGTCAGGGACCCCAGACCTTACCGTGGCGCACGGGTCTGCGCATGCACGGTATGCCGGGGCGCATTAGCGTGCGAGCATTAGGACCTGGGAACCCGCTTTGGCAGCGGCGGTCGCGCATGCGCACTTGCGATCGCGGATGCGCGCCTGGCACCAATGAGGGCGCAGGGCACCCTATTTAAACAGGTCAGGTCTGTGCTCTAGTTGCCATATGGTCTTTACCTGTATCCTGTGTTTCCTGAGATTGCCTTGTTGCCGACCCTGCCTGACCTTGATTCGCTGAGTGTCTCCTGCTCTGATCCCTGGCTTGTCTGACCATTCTCCTGTCTAATCCTGCACGTTTGATCTCCTGTTACCGAATCCGGCTTGTGACCAGTTTATCCTTCTGCCTACCACTTGTACCGTTCTGCCTCCACCGCTACCGACCCGGCCCGTCTGACTCTGCTCTCTCTACCTCTCTTACATCAGGATCTCACCTGCTATACACCTCCGGCAAGTGCCCCTACCACAGCTGGGTGCACCCAGGGGCTGCGACCTGGTTTCGGCCTGCTCCAAGTCCATCCCCACCATCAGGGGCCCTGGTGAACAAGCAGTTCGGGGCTTAGATTCCGCACCTTGGGGAATTCTGGTTTGTGGAGTGCTAGAGGCTACCGCCAGCAGGTCTATAACAACTGTGCCCATATGAAAGTTTTATCATTTATTTCACACAAACAGAGCTTTCCTTTGGTGGTAATGCATCACCACTGCATTTTTCATTTTTTGCACTATAAACAAAGACTGAAATTTTTGAAAACAAAAGGTTTTTTTTGTTTCTATTATAACATTTTGCAAATACTTTTTCTTTATAAATTTAAGCCAAAATTTATACTGCTACATTTCTTTGGTAAAAAATAACCCAAGTCAGTGTATATTATTTAGTCTGTGTGAAAGTTATAGAGTCTTCAAGCTATGGTACCAATCATTGAAAATTGATCACACCCTGATGCACTTATTTCATTTCTTGATGCCCTAACTTGCTAGGAAAGTACAAAAGGAAAGTAGACAGTCCTAGATATTAAGTAAGAGACATGGTGAGTTTTTTGAAGTTGTATTTTTTTCCCCACAATTCTTTGGAAAATTAAGAATTTTATTTTCACACATAATTGTCACATTAACAAGTTTCTCACACCTGGCATAGGCATACTTGCAATTGCACACCAAAACACATTCTGTTACTTCTCCTCAGTATGGCAATACCATATTGTGAGATTTTTCCACAACCTGGCCACATACAGAGACCCAACATCCAAGTAGCACCTTCAAGTGTTCTAGGAGTATAAAAGGGGCATAAATTACACATCTAATTTCCTGACTACCTATCAATTTTGAAGGCTCTGGAGCACCAGGACGGTGGAAACGCCCACAAAATGACCCCATTTTGGAAAGCAGACATCCCAAGGTATATTCTATCAGGCATAATGAGTCTTTTGAACCTGTTATTTTTTTCCAATAGTTTTTAGAAAATGTGGAAAGAAAATTAAACCTTTTTTCCACACTAAGTTGTCAATTTATAAAATATTTCTAACACACAGCATGTACATACCAATAATTATGCCCAAAATACATTCTGCTATTCCTTCTGAGTATGGCATTACCACATGTATGAGACTTTTCCACAGCCTGGCTAAACAATGGATGGCTTCCTTTCACATGCACAGGCTGGGCCAGTCACAGCCCATCTGTGTCACGTGATTAGCTGTGGCCAATCACAGCTAATCACAACAACAAAAGCTGAATGAATCCATTTCATTCAGTTAAATGCTTGCTTATAGCAAAGAAATTATTTGCTAGAAGAAATCAAATTGTGTAAAAAAAAAAAAACAAATTGGCCATTTCCCCAAAGTAGTACAATGTTACTATGATAACATTATACTACTTTGGTCAGAGTGTAATATGAAAAAAAAATATTAAAAAGGATAAAAAAAATTAGGAAAAAATAATTTTTAAAAAAAAACAAATTTAAAAAAAAAAAATTTTTTTTTGCACTGTCACAAGCCAGTGTCCCTGATCACCGCCAGACCAGTTATATGATGACGTTGTACTGCACTGGTGACAGAATGTAAAACAAAATTGTAAAAATAATTTTTTTAATTTCTTCATTTTCTGAAAAATTATGACAAAAAAAATTACAACTTCAGAAAACTCACCGTGCCTCTTATGAAATATTTTGGGCTGTCTACTTTGCAAAAAGGTGTCATTTTGGGGGATATCTGTACTGTTCTTTTTTTTTTTTTCATTTAAATATTTATAAATTTTTCATGCTATTACAAATATCCATAAAAGGAGACATATCGCATATAAATAAACATTCATAACATTTCTACATTTCCCCTTCTAAAAACTCTTTTCTTTCCCAACCCTTCCACCCCCTTCCCACCCCAACTCCCCCCACCTCCCCCTCTGCAAGCTCTAACCCACTCCCAATCTCTCGAGGCCTACTAACTTTAGGTAACGTCCTAGTTTATAGTTTTCTATATTTCTCTTTCAATCCTGATTTTTCCCATCTCGTATAATATACTCCCATTCTATCTTCCTGCATATGGTACGATTTTTTCCATTCTACCAATCTGGTTTACTCTATTAATCCAGTCTTCCTCCTGCGGAACCTCTGTTTTCTGCCAAAACTTGGGTATCAAACCTTTTGCCGCATTTAAATAGTACCATACGCCTGATTCTTTGTATTTATTTACTGATGTCTCAATATTATGTAGGAGGCACATCGTTGGGTCTAACCCTAGTCATTTCCAGTTATTTTTTCAATCAATTTAACTATTGTCTTCCAAAAAGCTTGAATTTTTGGACATTCCCACCATATGTGAAACACTGTGCCTATCTCTCCACATCCTCTCCAACACATTTTTGATTTTTCCCCACTCATCTTATGCTCAATACTCGGTGTAATGTGCCATCGTGTCACACACTTATAATTAATCTCAACCTCTCTCATACTAACGTTCTCGTGTATCAATCTAAATATCTTTTTCTGTTTATCCTCATCTAACACTACTTCCATATCTCTTTCCCATTTTGTTATAAAAGTTAACTTTGTGTTTGTGTCTAGTTCTGTGAGTATTCTATAGATTTTCGCAATACCGTGCTTCCCATCCCTACGTGTTTCTAACAGCCTTTCAAACATATTCCACTCCTGTTTTAATCTTAGGGGTTTCGGGAGATTTCCAGTAAAACATTTTAATTGATGGTATTTCCACTCATCTATTCTAGTGAAAATATCTCCTTCTTCTCTTTTAATTCTTTAAATGGTCTCAATTCCCCCTCAACCAGAACATCTCTCAATTGGATATCTTCCTTTTTAAACCATCTCCCTGATATTTTATCCTTTCCTGGAGGAAAGTACTCAGTGTTTGCAAGAGGCATTAATATAGAGTTGAATTCCCATTTCATGTTTTTGTGTAAATTATCCCATACCCTTAAAAACATTTAAAGTGTAAATACTTGTGCTTTCTTTAATTCCTCTAAACTGTGTTGGAACCCATATCATCTTACTCAATCTAATTCCACTAAGACCATTTTCAATTTTTACCCAACTTTTCCCCTTATGGTTAAATGTCCAATCATATATTCTTGCTAAAACTACTGCTTTATAGTATCTCTTGACATCTGGCAGTGTCTGGCATTCCCCCTTTCTCTTTAATCCTACTTAGTGTTTCATATGATATTCTTGGTTTTTTATTCTTCCATATATATCTTGTTAATATTTTTTTTATTATCTTAAAGAAAGCCTCTGGAATTTTGATTGGTACCATTTGAAATCTATACAATATTTTAGGTATAATTACCATTTTGACTAGGTTTATACGTCCTATCCATGATGGATTTCCTCCTTCTAATGTTTTTAATTCTTCCCTGATCTCATTTATCAAAGAAATATAGTTTAATCTATATAAATGCTTAGATGAGACAGTGAGTTTTATTCCTAGGTATTTTATATCTTTTTCTCTCCATATAAAGGGGAATTCTTTTTGTAGCTTTTCTTTTTCGCTCTTTGGTATATTAATGTTCAGAATATCTGTTTTTGTTGGATTCATTTTTTAGGTTTGATAGTTCACCATACTCCTTCAGGATCTTAATTATATTTGGGAGTGTTATTCGGGGATTCCCCACATAGAACAATAGGTCGTCCGCAAAGGCCGCTACTTTATGTTCTATAGTTTCTATCTGAATTCCCTTTACTGCTCCACTATTCCTTATTATTGACAACAGAGGTTCCAATGACAAAACATATAATAAAGGGGACAGTGGGCAGCCCTGTCTTGTTCCATTAGACATCCCGATGGGGTCTGATCTCTCCCCATTTACCGTAATGATTGGGGTGGGCTCCTATATAATTTACTTATCCACTCACGCATTCTATCTCCTATCCCCAGCGCTTCTAAATTATCCATCATAAAGCCCCAGTCCACTCTATCAAATGCCTTCTCTGCATCAATTGACAAGAGCACCACCGGGGCTTTCCCTTTTCTACTTTTCTGAATAAGC